TTAAGGAAAAAAAACTACATTTTCCAAAACAAACAAAAATTTAGTGAACAGAGAGAGTACTACTGTGCTATATATTTTGCAAATCTCACTAACACCTGGCTTGAGAGAATAGCTAGATTCTCATATATGCTGTAAATATAGTCTGTAAATTCCAGAAAGCAAAAATAAAACAGACAAATCTGACCACTATGCAATAAAACTAGAAATTAATACAATTGAAAATTTAAAAGATCCTTTCATCTGAAAATTTTTATTGGTTCTTTTTAGTTATACATGGTAGTAAAATCCATTTGATATAATTATATAAGCATGGAATATATCTTATTCTAATTATGATGTCATTCTTGTGTATATACATTATGGTGTGATTTACTGTGGTGTATTCATATCTGCAGATAGGAAAATTATGTCAGATTCATTCCACTGTCTTTCCTTTTCCTTCTCTTCTCTTCATTCCCCTTTGTCTAATCTACTGAATTTCTCTTCTCCCTCTGCCTTATTGTGGGTTAGCTTCCACATATCAGAGAAAACATTCAACCTTTGGCTTTATGGGACTGACTTATTTCATTTAGAAGATAGTCTCCAGATCCATCCATTTAATGGCAAATGTAATAAAAGCATTCTTCTCGATGGCTGAGTAATAAATATTTCATTGTGTATATATACCACACTTTCTTTATCCATTCTTCTGTTTAAGGGTACCTAGGTTGGCTCCATAGCTTACCTATTGTGAATTAAGCTATAAACATTGATGTGGCTGCATCATTGTAATATGCTGATTTTAAATCCTTTGGATATATACTGAGGAGTGGGATAGGTTGGTCAAATGGTGGTTCCATTCCTTTTTTTTTTTGAGGAATCTCTATACTGCTTTTCAGAATGGTTGCACAAAATTGCAGTCCCACTAGCAATGTATGAATGTACCCTTTTCCCCACCTCCTCACCAACATTTATTTTTAATTATCTTTCTTGACAATTGCCATCATGACTGGAGTGAGATGAAATCTCTGTAGTTTTAATTTGCATTTCTCTAATTGCTAGAGATGTTGAACATTTTTCATACATTTGTTGACCATTCATATTTCTCTTTTGAGAAGTATCTTTAGACCCTTATACTGTGCTAAATGCCTATGCTTCACTGAGCTCCCATACCTCTCAAACATACTTTTCTTACTTTTATCTGAGATTGAAATCCTTTGTTCATTTATCTGTTTCTCGAATTGGTCTTGTTTAATTCATTTCGTACTTCTAACATGTAGCATGATGCTTGGTGCCACATAGATACTCACTTTTTGTTGAACAGATTGTTCAAATTCCACACATCATGCTCATTTCTGTCTCTTCCATCTTTGATGTTGTTTCATCCCCTGGTAAGCTTTCCTTACAGTTCAAATCCTTCCTGTACTCTGTGATCCATCACAACTTCCCTTACTGCTATAGCTCTTGCTATTATACTTTTTCTATTATAGTCTATTGTTCATTGGCAATTGCATCAATTATAGCCCCACAACTGACTCACTCTCCTTGAGACAAGGGGTTATATTTTATTCTGCAATATACTTCTTAGTGCTTTATATGGTAATGAGTTTTTCTCAATTTATATTTGGTAATTGCTTATTTTAGGCAGTAACATGTAGAGGGATAAACATAGATTTAGATATGTGTTTGAAGCCACTTGCGCATTTGCACCTCAAATTTGTTGGGTAAAAAGTAAAAATAATGTAACTTCATAGGATTGAACAAAGGTGAAGTGAAATAATGTGTAAGTGTGCGTGTGCATGTGTGTATGAGTATGTGTGTAGAGAGAGAGACTAGATTCCTCTGTGTATATATAGATATGTGTATGTATGTGTGTGTACGTATATCCCATCACAGAATAGGTTTAAATATTAATTTTTTAAAAAAAAGTTTTGTTTTCTATCATAATTCTAAGACAAGTAATTTGGATGTTTTTTGTTTTTCTTCATAAGTTCCAAATTAAGCTGCTTTTTATTTTTTTACTTTCATGTAACTTTCAATTGCTGTCCCCCACCATTTAATATATTAGACCAGAGGTTCTCATCCTTGACTACACATTAGAATTATTTGAGAGGCTTTTAGATATCCCAATGCTCATATCATTCCACTGGTCAATTAAATTACCATCCCTGGATCCTACACATTGTGTTTTGTTTTGTTTTTTAAAATTCATTGAGTGGTTCCAACGTGAAGCCAAATTGGAAACTACAATGTTAGATTATAAAGACATACCCTACCCAATTCATGTTTTAAAAATAAAGACCTTTATTCAAGGAGTTCTGAGATAGGGCTGTGATTAGGAGAAGATTGGACATCCAAGTACTGAGTTGTCGAAGATTCGGAAAATTACAAGATGCAAAGAAGCCTCAGTTTCTGGATAAACTCAGAAACAAAGGATCCTAGCAGGGGCAAGTACAGCAAATCTGAATGGGGCGAAGGAGCAGTTTCTAAGATAATGGAGAGTGTAAGAAATAATGAAGTTTTATTATAGGATTAGACCAGGAGTTCTGATCTTTAGATCAATGAATAGGTTTCCTGTCTTCACAGAAAGTGTTTACACATTTTTTTAACATTTATTTTTTAGTTGTAGATGGGAACAATGCCTTTATTTTATTTATTTATTTTTATGTGGTACTGAGGATCCAATTCAGGGCCTTGCACATGCTAGGCGAGTGCTCTACTGCTGAGCCACAATCCCAGCCCTGTTTACACAGTTTTTATACATTATTTTCTGAGATGTCTACAGATGAGAAGAAGAAAAAAACATCATTCTGTGAAAAAGCCAAGAGCTAAAATAATAGTAATCACACCACAGTACTAGAACTGCCTCTGGATATATGATCGGCAGCTCTTCTGAAGTCCTTTGTTGTCTCTATTAGACTATGTCGTAATTGTGGAGAAACAAAGGAGGAATTAAAGATAAAACTACATACTGTGTATTTTATAATTATAAGCACTAAATAAGTGCACAAACGCTCTGATATATAATCTGAGTTTTTAATCACAATAAAGATCATTGGCTCAATCTAGGGAAGGTGCTCAACAATAGCTGAAAGTACAATCATCTGAAAAGCTTTCACAAAGTAAGGAAGCTTACTTTAATTGATCTTACGTGGAGCTGTATCATGAATATTTCCCCCAAACAATTTTAATATAACCAGCATTGAGGACAACTTATCTAGAGGAAGCCAGGATTCCTTGCATAACTTGAGTGCCTTAAAAAATGCATAGTATTGGCCATATAAATCTGAACCTTAAAATAAGGATAGTAGTAGTAATTTCCTATAAAAGGTTTTTGTAAAGATTCATTTTAGTCCCATGTTTTTCAGGAAGTCCAGAATCTTCAGTTGATCATTATCAAATCAGGGAGCCACTAATCACAAACTTGAAAGGGGTTGAAATTAACCAAGGAACAGGAAAATATTCCCTTGGTATATTTCTCATGAAATATCAGATAATAATAACTAATGATATTCATTAAAAAACAAATTCCCTGTCCCTGCCCCTAAAAGAGTGAATCATGTTCTGCAGGATGATACCCCAGGTGATTCTTATCAGAGAAGTTTAGTAAACATTATAGTTTAAGTTGATATATTGTCATTCTGCTATTGATTTATGGTAGGAGGATATATATACCATAAGAATATATATATAACCCCAGGATATATATATGTGTGTGCATGTGTGTGTGTGTGTGTATGTATGTGTGTGTGTGTGTGTATGTATGTGTGTGTGTGTGTGTATATATATATACACACACACACACACACACACACACATTTATATGACCCCAATGCCCAGTTTTTATGTTTGTCATCTAGATTGTACTTTTCTTGGTATCAAAAAATATGGGAAAAATTATAAACAGAGAGTGACATGGTGAGCATGAAATCAGAATACAGGGATAGGAGGACAAATTTGGGAATCATTCATTCAAATTTTTACATGACCTGCTGAGCTCTTCTGGTATCACACTGAGTATATCTTAATAGTGAACAGAGTCTCATGTCTTCAAAGTCAGCATCTTTCTTTCCACTTGACAGTAGTCTTTTATTTCTGTGAATAATCTTCACTCAGACAAAACAGATACACTTCATAATGATTATTTTAGCTTCCTTTCCATGATTAGCTTATTGTTTGATATAAAAGAGGGTGACCTTAGTTGTCCTTAATATCTCTACAGCACCAATTTATTGCCTCATTTCCTAGTGTGGGATTGTTTTTATATTTGACTTAGGAAATTTATTAATTTGCTTCTTCTGACCAAAGATAAAGTAGAAGGATGGTGAGAGTAAGACAATGAAAATAATTTATTCCTCCACTTCTATCCAAGAAGCAAACTATTAAGGTAGTTGTTGGACATTTCCTATTTTATAGTTTTTGACTCTTTTAAAATGGTAACTAGCAGTTTTGTTTTAGAATTTTGCTTTCAGCTTTAATCCTATGAGTGGGGCTCACTGAACCTCTCTCCTTTCTAAAATATGTGGAAATTACTTTTGTAGCTAATGCACTACAGTGATTTCAGGTAAGAGTGTAAAAATTTGCTTTTGCTTTAATCTTTTGGGACATTTCAGACTTTGGTTGGGTGGAAAAGAATTAGTGGCAAACAAAAAGAGGTTTGTCAAGGGACAAAGAGTCAAAAGTTGTGCAAGCACACTAAATTTGAGGTGCCTGCTACACCATCATGTAGCAACAGTAAGCAAACAGATACCAGATTTTTAGGGAATAAATCAAGGCTACAGAAACAGTGTGGTATAGTGCAAAGAATTCTGGGGATTAAATTAAGAGACATGGGCACAAAGGCTCACTACTACTAAATGGCTCTGTGACTTTGACTAAGTCATTTTGCCATTCTGGGCCCAGTCCTAATTGGGAAATTTCAAGTAGATCATCTCTAATAAATTCTTCTCCAGTCCTAATATCAAATGATTCTAAGTGTATCCACACTAACCTTCTTAACTTGAACTTTCTATTTTTTTCAGCATTTAATATGAGAACCTACATTTGCCATATTTGTAGTATAACCTTTACATCTTTAGATATGTTCCAGTCCCACATGCAAGGGAGTGAACATCAAATTAAGTAAGTGGTTTTTTTGATAAAATGTTCCTGACACCAAACATATATTTTACAAAACTTCTCTGGGCATTCATTTCCTTATGAGTTGAACTGGATATGGTTAACAGTATTAGTAACATTGTACACTGGTGTCCCCAAAGGTGTTCTTGTGTCATGATAGTGTGCTGGAAGAGCTGGCTCTTTGATATCCCTCCTGACCAGAGAGCATTATATTTTTTAGAGAGATGCTAAGGAATCATTCTCAGGCTAACCATACAAATTCAAAGCATTTCTAGAAGCTTGGCTTAGTTCCACGGTTTCAATGATCCAGTCAACATTCAGTGAGGTGTAGTGGTTAAGAACAAAGGTTTTGCTGTTAGACAGACCTGGATCAGAATACCAGATCCATCTTTTATAAAGTGTATAATTGTGAAGAACTCTTATATAAGATTGTTAAAAATGAAATATAATATACCTGACTTGGACATAGGTGGAGCTCAATAAATGCTTAGTTAACAGTTATTTTAAGGAGATTTTAATTGAATGTACAATTGAGGAGTGGGTAATTTAGGTAATACAACAGAGGGATATTTAATTGTTATATAATTGGCTTATTTTTAAAAAAATCAAATATAACATTTCTCTTACTTTATTATAGATGAATATTTAGGACCTAAATTGTCTGACTTGCCAAAATTAACCTACATTTAGACATGTTAAAAAGAAATTCAGGGTTCCAGAATACTTGCCACATTTGTAGATCTATCCAAGGAACTGGTTAATCAAAACACATATCATTCTAACATTCAGTTCATACCATTTATTAGAGCATTAAATATTAATGGCCCTTACTCACACATCCAAACATGTCTTAGGTTTTTAGTACATCAGCATCTGATATATATGCTCCTCCCTTTAATCCCAGCCAGAGAAAGTTTTCTTAAAAACAAAAATTGTGAGATGCCTGGGAGATATCTGATTATTCCCACTGTATCTTTTTACCATGAAAAGTAATTCTTTATAGCTTTTAACCTGAGGTTGATTTTAAAATTTTATTTGGATTTTTTTTATTTTGAGAGCAAAGAAAATATTCAGAATAAAATATTCTTGTAACAAGAACTTTCTGTCCTTTTTTGCAGAGAATCCCTTGTTATCAATCTAGTAAAGAATTCAAATACACAAAATTCTTGCCAAGTTGAATGTGCAGATTATATCAAAATGCAGAAAACGAGAGAACTAGAGTATAGGACTTGTTTCAGAAAGATGGAAGAGAATTATTTGGAAAGCCTTGGGTATAGAGAAATGGTTGATTCCAGACCCAGACCTAAAATGTATGAAGAAAGACTTCCATTTGAGACTTTCCAGACATACCCAGGACCATACAATAATTCACAAGCAGTGGAAAACCAGTTACCGCATTGCTTACCAGCTCATTCAAAGAAGACACATGACTCTTTCAAAGATGAACTTGAAGATTACATCAAAGTGCAAAAAGCTAGAGGACTAGATCCAAACACTTGTTTTAGAAAGATGAGAGAAAACTCTGTGAACCGAGGGTATAGAGAAATGGTTGATTCTGGACCCAGACAAAGAATGTGTGAGCAAAGATTTTCTTTTGAGACTTCCCATACTTACCACCAATCATACAGTAGTTCACCAGTGGAAGGCCAGTTACCTCATTGGTTACCAGCTCATTCAAAGAGAACATATGACTCTTTCCAAGATGAACTTGATGATTACATCAAAGTGCAGAAAGCCAGAGGATTAGAGCCAAAGACTTGTTTCAGAAAGATAGTTGATAGCTCTGTGGAAACTCATAGGCACAGAGAAATGGTTGATAGCAGAACAAGATACAGAATGTTTGAGCAAAGACTCCCATTTGAGACTTTCCAGACCTATACAGGACCATACAATAGTTCACAAACAGTAGAAAACCAGTTACCTCATTGCTTACCAGCTTATGACAGCAAACAGAGACTAGACTCTGTAAAGTACTGTCAACTTCCCAGAGACTATTTCTCAGAAAAACCAGTACCTCTGAGCCTTAGTCAGCAAGAAAATAACTCTGGTCCATATAGTGTAGAATGTGAAATTTATAAGCACCTTTCCTCAGAAAACAACACCAGTGACCATCAAGCAGCTCATAAACGGCGACACCAGAAGAGAAGACGACACCTTGAGGAAGGTGAAGAAAGGCAAGAGAAGGAGCAGTCCAAGCATAAAAAGAAAAAGAGTCATGAGGATATGGATTTAGGCAAAGACAAGAGCATCCAACAAAGTAAACGAGAAGAGGATAAAGTCAGGGTCAGTTCAGGAAAACTTAAGCATCGAAAAAAGAAAAAAAGCCATGATATATCCTCTGAAAAAGAAGAACGTAAGCACAGGAAAGAGAAAAGAAAATCTGTTGAAGAAAGGACAGAAGAGGAAATGCTTTGGGATGAGTCAATTCTTGGATTTTAAACTTTTAGTTTACCAAAGGATGATTTGAAGAAAACATTATGGGTTTAGATAAAGACAGGAGAATCCAATGAAAAAAAGGAGAGTTTGATATGGTCATTGTTGGTGCAGGAAAGCTTCGTTGTTTTGTGTGCAAAAATTAAAAATGAAAGAAGAAACACGAAAAGCCTAAGTCAGTTTTAGAAAGAAGAACAGCAGAGAAAATCAAACCTATGAAAGAAAAATAGAAGAGTCAGTATTTCGGGATGAATCTGCTTTGGGATTTTAAACTTTTAGTTGGTGTTTCCTCAAGGATGAATTGAAGAAAACATCAAGAAGATGAAATTAGATAAACACAAGAGCATCAGATGAAAAGGAGAGGTAGATATAGCCATTGTCAGTTAAGGGAAACTGGTTTTCTCTTTTCTTTCTTTCTTTCTTTCTTTCTTTCTTTCTTTCTTTCTTTCTTTCTTTCTTTCTTTCTTTCCTTCCTTCCTTCCTTCCTTTTCTTTCTTTTTGTAAAACTTGAAATTTAATTGAAAAAAGAACCAAAAAACCCAAACCTAACCTCTGAGAAACAAGAACATAAGAACACAAGAAGAACATAAGAGAAAAGGAAACTTATAAAAGAAGACAGAAGAGTCAGTGCTTTAGGATGAGTCTATCCTCTAATTTCAAAACTTCCTAGTTTTATTCCCTTAGGGTTGAAGACATAGGTTGAAAAGTTTGGTTTTATTAAATAATTATTTGATTTTTCACATGGACAGTTAATGTAATCTCTATAAAAGCCAAGTGAACTGAAAGTATTCACTATGCCTTTTCCTCAAATTACTTTTCCTCAATTTTTTAAAACAGAAGAAAGAAAGAAAGAAAGATTATTAAATGTATCTTGCATAAAATGTAATTTCCCTAAATGGGGTTGTTTCTACTTTGTCCATCAGATTGCTGTGATAGTGGATTTTTTTACCCATGAGAGATAATTTATTTTTTAATGAGAGAATTATCAAGAGTTGCAGTGTACAGCCATACCACCCTGAACTCACCTGATCCTATTTGTTCTTGGAAAATAAGCATGGTCAGCCCTGTGGGAGTCAAGGCATTGCTGAATCCATTCCTTTTGGGGTTTGTGTTACTGTTGGTGGTATTTTATTATCGATGTGTTTGTTTATGTTTCTTAGTTTTCTCAAAAGAAAATGTATGAAACAATTTACACTGATTTTTTTCTTTGTTAAGTCTAATTTGCAGTGTATTTTTGTATTTTCTAGTTCTGAAAGTGAAAAATTAAATAGTCTATAACAAACTTAGAAGATATATACTTTTAAAAAAAGTTCTCAAAGTGCTGATACAAAAATCACTCTATATTCTGGAAGTGTTTATATTAAAGTGTTCTAATTTCTATACATTGTTTTATTTAAATGATCATTTTCCATCCATAGATGATTGGTCTTGGAGTGAACGGGCAGTAACTAAATAGTTTGCACTTAATACTTCTGGGAAGATCACACTATAAAGCTATAATAATTTCATTGCTTTTACAGCTTGTCTAGTAGAAGCTGGTACTTTATCTTGAGCTTAGTGTTATCTTAGAAAAATATGACCAGCTAAATACTTGAAACTGAAGAAGGAAAAATTTTAAGTGATAGGGGCCCATGAGGGTTTATTACCTTTAAATTGTTTGATTTTGATGATTTTTTTTATTCTGGTGCTCCTTTTTTTTTTTATCATCAGCAACTCCTGTAAGCATTTGAGCATCACTGTGGTATAATAGAAAGTATAATGGCCTGGGAATCCAAATCCCAGGGTTGGATTCCAGTTGTACCATCAAGTTGCAGCGTGATCTTGAGAATGCCATCAGAATCCAACATGGAGTCACCAGGAATAGGAAAAATAGGCTATAGTAGTCCCTTCACGTGCTAAACCTATTCAACAAGTAAGTAAATTTTAATGGTGATATATCTGCATTTAGGCAAGCCATTTGATAGTTGGTTTTTATATTTGAAATTTAAATAAAATGGTAGATATGTGCTAAAGCATGATATTATTGGTCGGGCTTATACCTAGTTAAATAAATAGTCCCAAAAAGTTAGATGGTCCCCAAATCATTTTTTTCTTTCATGAGACTGTTAATATAAGATTATTTTATGCTATAGTATCATCCCCCCTTTTAAACCATATTTGGTATACTAGTGAAAGGACAGGAAGAAGAGCCAAGATAGAACAAGTAGACTAAATTGTCAGCCACAAAATTGGCATTTTTTTTTCTGAGCACACACACACAAATACAAAAGTACAAAGTTTTTTTTCCGTACAGAAAATGCAAGATAAGATCAATTGAATCATTAACACTTTTACAGTTGATAAATTCTTATGCAGAAGTCTTTTTCTGTTTAAATCTGTTGGGGGAATTCAACATTATATATCAAGAATATTCACTAAGATACCAAATTACTGTGTTATTCTCAAAATGTATAGATACAATGTTCCATTAAAATTAGCCATACATAACTTTATAGAAGATGGATCATGTAAATTAAAAAAAACATTTAAATTGGGTAGTGTGGCTATTGGAGCAAATAGGGTGTGGTTTTGATTACAATCTTAAGGCAGTAACTTAGGCTTGCCCAAGAAAAGTGGTTTTCAAAGATTTTAGGATAAACTTTTTTGGCAAAAGTAAATTATTTGTTAACCAGAAAATTTAATTTTATGGTTGAAGCTGGTGACAAGCACTTGGAACCCAAGTTTTGCATATTTGCTCTGCTCCCATCTTCTGCCTCTAAGCATCTGGAGGTAAGAATATATCTAAGTCAAGATACACCAACACAGGGAGAGAAGATATAAAGTGATCTCCACTTCTGGAGTTGACTGCTGACTCTGTTAAGATTAAATTTAGTAGTAAAAGTTTTTTAAAAATCCTGCACGGGGTATGGAAGACAATATAAAGACTTATTTGAGGAAAAATAATTTAATATATTACATATGAAAGCAATGTTTGGGGATGTATTACATGTTTGGTTTGAAAGACCAATATCTAGACATAAATTCACATATGATCTGAGGCAAATATGTTAAAGACAGTATTCAGAACAAGTAAACTAATAGTACCTAACTTCAGAGATGTGCCCTGAACGGATAGTAGAAATGAGCAAACATAGGCTTAATTTGAAAAATATTTTTCAAAAATGGGAGTTTTAGAAAAAATATATAATTGGCTGTCCTGTTATATACATGCATTGAGAAAATAATAGCTGACTGTCAGTATTGTGCCAGAAAGGGACCTGAGGAAGAAATGAACATATGTCCTGTTTCGCAAAAAGCCCACACAGTCCACAAGAGGAAATGGACCAATAAATAGGTAATTGTGATATGAATTGGATAAAGGCTACAACAGGAATGATGATGAAGGGGAAGATGGCATTCAGGAAAGGCTTCACAAAGGAAACTGTTCTAAATAAACTTCCCAGTTCAAAGTTGTATCTCTTTAATATATCCATGTAGCTAGAAGGCACCTCAAACTTAATATAGCCAAAATAGAGTGCCTGCCTGTCATTATTAATCATTCATTTTCTAGTTTACCCATTTATGTAAAAATCTTCATTCAGTTGCTCAAGCAAAAACAAACATTTTTGAGCATCTCTTCTTTGCATTAAACCAAACAATTCCTCTTAATTATATGACCAAAAGAGGAAAATATGTTTGAGAGCAACTAAAACATTAGAAGTCATTACAGTTTCTGAATTACAGGTAAGTGAAGAAAACTGCACAGGATCATCAAAAGAGAACTGTGGTGAACTAACTCCTTGAGGATCTCAGAACCATTCAGCATACATTTTCCTCCAGGGTAAATCCATGTGAAAAAAGGAAACTTCTAGTTTCTGAAATCAAATTGAACAGAGCAGAAAGATTGTAAGGAAAAATGTAAAATTCATATGTTAGAGGGTAGGAGAAGAATCTAGAGAAAGCAGATCTCAGAAAGCATTATGGCACCAAAATAAATATATAAACATGAGAGTAACATATTAGACTTCAAGACCTGTTAAATGTGAACACCAGAAAATGCAGACAAAAAGCAGTTGGAACATCTGACCTAGTAATTTTTTAAGTGGGCTAAATGGAAGAAAACATTTAAACCTTTGAAACAGAATGAATCAGAAAAATAATCCAGAAACAGTCAACTGAAGGGTGTGAAACAAAAACTGATGGAAGGAAACAATTACAAAAAAAAATCCATAAATGAAAGACTTGGAAGGTAGGAGAAACACTGATAAAAATGGTAAGGAAGATAAGAGCAAAGTGAAGACAATTTTTAATTATATAAAAGATTGATAGAAGTAATAGGTAAAAGAGCCAATGGAGATCTAAATTAAATATGTTGTATTGGATGCTGTATTGTGCTGACCCAAACCATCCTCTACCTGTCACACCTTTTTCAGGTGAGAGGCATTCATTTCTCCAGTTTCTAGGGAATAGTCCTTGTCTAAGGAAACTGCCCTTCCTAAGACCAGGCCTCCTGCTTCAGTCTGAGACACCTGCAAAAGGCTATTCTAGTTACAGAGTTCCTTATGGGATGAGCAGAGGTATTTGTCGTGACTGTTTGTAGTTCCATTTATCCTTCTATCACTGCCTTACAAATATTTTTTCTTTTGTGATACCCCTTTAAATTGCCTTCATCAAATCCCTACCTCATAATAATTTCTTCCCAGAACCTTACCTAGGTCAAGAGGAACCAGAAATGGTCTTAGGAAATAGACACCAAAAAGGGGCACTTTGGAGCAGGCAATATGGATTCTCTCATTTGTAGGAGGTAAAATACCGATGGTAGGTGCTTTCTGTCATGCTATGGCAGTATAGTTTTAAAATTTTCACCAATGATGCTATTGGACAGGAATATACATGCATGTGTAATATCTCAAGCAGTTGAGAGGATCAGGGGACATAGCAATTATATGAAAACTGCTAAATTTCAGAGTCATTGTTGTCTTGGAGAAAGAAAATGAAGGCTGAGAGAATCATCAATTTAAGGAAAAATATGAAAGTTAAAAGGTGTTATGGTTTAGATACCTGGTATACCCCAAAATCCCATGTGTGAGAATGCAAGAAGGTTTAGAGGCCAGATGATTGGGCCATGAGAACTTAACCAAATCAGTGTGTTAATTCCTTGATAGGGATTAATTGAGTGGTAACTGAAAGTGGGTAGGGTGTGGCTGAAGGAGGTGGGTCATTAAGGGAATGCCTTTGGGGTTTATATTTTGTGGTTGTGAGGAGAGCTCTCTCTCTGCTTCCTGGTGCCATGTCCCCAACAGCTTTCCTCTGCCACACACTTCTGCCGTGATATCCTGCCTCACCTCAGGCCCTGAGAAATGGAATTCACTGTCTGTGGATTCAGACTTCCAAAGTAGTGAGCCCCAAAATAAACTTTTCCTCCTTAAAATTGTTCTTGTCAGATCTTTTGTTCACAGCAGCAAAAATATGTCTAAACTGAAGGCATCCTTGGTAGCATATAAAGGGATTTTCATCTCTTCATCTTCATCACACCTTCCCCTGGACCCTCTGAACTCTAGAATTGCCAGATAAAATACGGGATGACAAATTTAATTGTTAAATTTGAATTTCATATAATGAGCTAATTTTAGTATAAATGTGTTCCGTGGAATATTTGAGATAAAATACACTTAAAATTGTTTATATAAAATCCAAAATTAACTGGGTGTCATTATATTTAATTAGTTTTGATAAATGTGGCCACTTAACACATTTCTAACAATTAATGGCTAGCATTCTTTTCTTGCTTAAAGATAATATTGCCTTGAAAGACAATAAGGCCCTTCCCCAAGCATTTATACCCATCACTCCTACTGTCCATCAGACCAGTTACTATGATCAAACCACAGTTTAACCCAGCCTGAGAAATACTAGTCTTATAAGGGGAAAAAGAGAGACTGTATGTATTCTAACAGAAGGAAAGAACTAGGAAGAGGTTTGGTGGAACTGGTCTCTAAGATTAGACAATTTGTGGCCAGAATGTAAGAGAGCTAGAGGTTTCTAGGAGGAGCTCCAGGAGAAGGGCAAGTCAGGAAAGAGTAAGGGTGGGCTCTCCAGAAATGGGGCATGGAGGACTTTGATAAACAGTACTAGTAGCCTTGTTCTGTTACGAAGCAGGAGTTGCTATGGTTTGAATGTATTTATATTCTCCATAATTCACATGCTGGAAACTTAATTCTCAATGCATCAATATTGCAAGGTAGGACATAGTAGGAGGTGCTTAGATCATGAGAGTCCTGCCCACACAAGTGGATTAATGTCACTATACAAAGGACTTGTGGATGTGGCTTCATTCTTATCAGTGCTTATGCCATATGAGGAATGGTTTTTACCACCCCTCTCCCACCCCTGAGAATAAGTATTCAAGTCACCATCCTGGCAGTGGAGACAAGGCCCTTAACAGACAACAAAAATATGCCAGCATGTTGATTTTGGACTTTGCAACCTCTATAACAGTGAGAAATAAACTTCTGTTTTTTATAAATTACCCAGTCAAGTCTCAGACATTCTGTCATAATAGCACAAATAGAATATAACAGGAATCATGAAATATTTCTAAGCAAAAAATAAAATAAAAAGTTGGACTGGATTATCTCTGATGGTCTTTTATGAGTCTAATGTGCTCATAAAACACATTTAGTGTGAAGCTGGAGGCTAGGCAGGGAAGGAGACACAACATAGGATCTGCACAGTAATCTAAGTGTGATATTAGGTAATAGGGTAGTATCAGAGAGAACTGGGAGTGAGACACAGGGAGAAAAACTATAGGATTCTTTGACAAAACTGAAATGCTAGACTAGGTCATAGACTCCTGATGAATATTTGAACTGAGAAGAAAGTGGGAAAGCAAAGCCCTATTTAGATGGGCTAATATCAGAAACACTGATACAAAGAAAGTCAAACTGAGATCATGCTGAGATTAATGGAAAGAGGCTTCAGATTGGAATAAAACCAAATAATTTTTCATTACAAATGTTAAGTTTCTTAGGCCATTTGAGACCAAAGAGGATTAAAAACAATGTAATAATTGACCTATAACACTTGGGATCAGTAAAGCTTCACCCCGTACCTCAATTTAAGATAAGCACTTAGTAAAAAGATGTTTGGGAATAGCAAGGATCAGTCATATTATGGAAAAGTCAAAAAGGATTCCCCACATACCTGTTATTCTAGAATATACCATATGGGTACAACCTCACCAGATGTTTGGTGCATTTGTTTTCTTCCCTGTTTTTAATGAGTAGTTCATATAATTCTTAAGTATATTATGACAAGGTTCTGGAGGAAGATTTCATAAAATCTTTCAAAATTTTTTATTTATCTTTAATTGGCACATGGAAGATAGAAGTATAGACAGGAAATCTAATTGTGTACTTCTTTTCAAAATATTAGCTGTACATCAATCTCACCTCACCAGCTAGACACAAATGTAAAAGATATTTGTTAGAAAAAAGAAAGCATAGGTGCAAGGTAACCCCAAAGAGATGGAGAAGAAGGAAGTGTGCAGTACTTAGGTGATTTTCATAAATAGTGTATCTAAAAATATAGAAATAGGTATAGGAAGAAGTGAGAGTCATCAAGCTCTTCTGTATCCTGAAATGCTGTATAAAGTAACTAAGAAAGTAAGCATTCATTTGACTGTATATTCTCCACATAATGTTTCTCTTTTGCAGAGCTCATAGATCCCTGAAGAGGTTGGGTGGGGCAGTTTATTTCCATCCCAGAAAAAGATAAAATCCTGGCCATATATATTTCTGCATCTTACATCAAATAAAATCAGTAGGTGATACTGAAATGTTCCTTGAATTCACTTCTATGTAACATATCTTATTCAGTAACTAGAAGTAAACTACCATGTACCAACACAACTCATAGTGCCAAAAGGGGGAGAGAAAACAGGATCCTAACATGTAAATGGTTCAGGCAATGGATTCAGATTCAGAAGACTGGGTTCAAATAATCACTCACACTCATTTGTTTTATGGTCACTGAAAGCAAGTCATTTAGCTACCTTAAACCTTTTTCTGATTTGTGACAGGAAGACTTTGTAAAAAATTTCACTTAGTAAGGTTATTTAAGGACTAAATAATATAATATGCCAATACATTTTCTGACATATTGAACTCTCAATAAATGTAATTTAATTAGAATGCTAAGTAGAGTAGTATTGAGGGAAACATGACTAAATTGACCAAAATTCAGTTGCTAAATTACATGATGGTAACCCTAAGAAAAATCCCTTTCCAGTAATAACAGCCAAATATAAAATAGGTTATCCCAAGGGTTACTGAATAATGGAGTGTTCAAAGGCTGGAAGATTATTCAGGTAGATTGCATGGGAGTGTGTGTGGAGCATTATTTGTGTTGTTTGATACCAAATTCACCCTCATTTGTCACTCCACTTCAGTCTTAGTTCTTTCTACCTTATTTTTCTTTATCTACAGTTCTATCACTTTATCTACAGTTTTATCAAGCCTTTCTTTTTAAGGTGCCTTGAAGTTTTATTTAACAAAACCTGATATAAACAAATACACAAATTTCTCCAAAATTATATGTAGCATTGGACCAGAGAATTTAAAATTTTATGTTTTCATTATTTGTGCTGAAAATAATTTGATAGGAGTCTACTCTCTAAAAGGCTGAGAGAATAAACATAAGACAAATTTCTTGTGTTAATACAGTTTTGGGGCTAATGCTTTGTGCATAGCATTTATTTTTACTAATAGCTAAGGTTATATAATAGTTGATCTGTATATTAATAATTATATTGGCTTACTGGTTAAGTTCAGTTTTGTAATTTGTTTTCACATGTCACCTTCATTATCCCTGGTTCACAGAGGAGCCAAGCAAAATTTCTTTTTCTCAAATCTCACAATTTCCTACCTTCAGATAGTTAATATATACATATTCATCTCTAAGTGGTCTAACTTGTTAAACATCATATCCTTTGATGAAAAAGGTTTTATCTAGATGAGGCATCTACTAGAGCTCCTCCTTCATTAAAAGCATTTGAAAAGACTAGTCCTTCTTTTCAAAGTGTACTTCTCCTAGAAGAAATGTGACTTTCCATTCCATTGAGATTTAAATCCTGTGAATTAATGAGTATCCTTTGTGAGCCACCAAACGTTTTTCAAGGAATAATTTATTCAGTTATTCCCAGCTACCAATTTCCCTTGTGGAAAAAGCAGCAAATGATTTCCTAAAAGAGAGGAAATAGAATATTCAAGAAACATTTGAACGTAAGGGGAGGGAGTTGGAGCTAGATTTTTGAAAACCTGTATTGGGCTAGGCACTTTCACAATGTATCTCTTTGAAATCTTAATTCTGAGAACCAAGTGAAAAAAAGGAAAGTGAGTCTCAGAATAGTTAGGTGTATGGCTTAAGATCATAGAGGTGGAGGCTGGGCTGAGAATGCAATTCCCATTTTTCTAACTCCTGAAGTTGGTCCATGGTGAGTCGATCCATTAAGTACAGTAGGCACAGTACCCAGGACTCATGATACATTTAGGGATCTACAAAAATTGTTTAATTTAGGGCAGTGGTGTCACTAAGAAGTCAAGTGGTGAGTTTCAGGACCCTGTCTCTCTATAAAAGCAAGTAATAAGCTAACAAAAATCTGTCAGACTCACAGAACTCTTTTTTTTTGAGCAAAATTCTTTTTTTATTTATATATGACAGTGGAATGCATTACAATTCTTATTACACATATAGAGCACAATTTTTCATATCTCTAGTTGTATACAAAGTATATTCACACCAATTTATGTCTTCATATATATACTTTGGAATAATAATGATCATCACGTTCCACCTCATTTCTAACCTCATTCCCCCCTCCCACCACTTCCCCTCCAACCCACAGAGGAGAAATACATCATCTGAATAGTCCTACGTCTACTAAAGACATTGATAAATCATAAATAACTATCCAAAATCATTTTTTCTAAAATAAAATACTAATATCAAGAAATGTATCAATAAAATTTCAATCTTAAGGCTATTTTATGGAAATAAAATGCAATTTGTCATTTCTATGCATAGATATATTAACATATAAGATACATTGATAAACTCTGAGTTTGATGTTTTTCTGAGGTAAAGAACATAATATTGGCTTTAACTTAATCAACACGCATAAATCAAAGGCATTTCTGTATATCAGCGACACAACTTCTGAAACGGAAATGAGGAAAAACACTCCATTCACAATATCCTCAAAACAAATAAAATACTTGGGAATCAACCTAACAAAAGAGGTGAAAGATTTATACAATGAAAACTACAAAACCCTAAAAAGAGAAGTAGAAGAAGATCTTAGAAGATGGAAAAATATACCCTGTTCATGGATAGGCAGAACTAACATCATCAAAATGGCGATATTACCAAAAGTTCTCTATAGGTTTAATGCAATGCCAATCAAAATTCCAAAGGCATTTCTTGTAGAAATGGATAAAGCAATCATGAAATTCATATGGAAAAATAAAAGACCCAGAATAGCAAAAGCAATTCTAAGCAGGAAGTGCGAATCAGGCGGTATAGCGATACCAGACTTAAAACTATATTACAGAGCAATAGTAACAAAAACAGCATGGTACTGGTACCAAAACAGGAGGGTGGACCAATGGTACAGAATAGAGGACACAGAGACTAATCCACAAAGCTACAACTATCTTATATTTGATAAAGGAGCTAAAAGCATGCAATGGAGGGAGGATAGCATCTTCAACAAATGGTGCTGGGAAAACTGGAAATCCATATGCAACAAAATGAAACTGAATCTCACAGAACTCTTGAATGTAGTCAAAATTTAAGTTTCAATGAAGAAAGAAAATGCAGTGTTGTTGGAAGAAAGTTTTATGGCATTTTTAAAGAACTCTTTTACCATCATCATTCCCCAGATCATCAGCAGCCATGAAGATTCCTAGTGCAGGTGGTGAAGAGCCAGAGTGAACAGTACAGACCTTTCTCTCAAATAAATATAGTTGTGTGTTTCAACTCCTCTGGCAACTCTGTGAAGGATTGTCTCAGGGCTTCCCTTTGTTTCTATTTTCTTAGAGATTTCCCACAGCTGAGGCAACTTCCCAGGTAATATTGGCCAAAAGTGTTTGTGGTGATTAATATTATGTGTCAACTTAAATATTATCCTGGATGTTTCTATAAAAGGTTTGTTTTTTTTGGGGGGGGGTGTTAACATTTAAATTGAAGCATATCACTCTACATAATATGAGTGGGCTTCATCCAATCAGTTGAAGGACTCACTGGAACAAAGACTGACCTCCCAGGGCAAGAAGGGATTCTGTTAACAAGTTGGCTTTACACTTGAAGGGCAACTCTTCTCTATGTCTCTAGCCTTTAGTCCTACTAAGAAGCCTCCTATAATCTCACAGGCTAATTCCTTAATAACTGTCTGTCTATTCATTCATTCATCTATATACTGTTAATTCTCTTCCTCTGGAGAACCCAGACTAACATGAATTTTGGTATCAAAAAGTACGGTGCTACTATAAAATGCTTAAAAACAAGGAAATGATTTTGGAACTGGGTAATGAGGAACTGGAAAGATTTTGCAGTGCATGTTAGAAAAAGTCTATATTACCTTAAAGAGAGACTGTTGGTATAAATATGAATATTAAAGGTAAATTTGGTGATTTTAAAATTTTTTATTCTTTTTAGTTATACATGGTAGAAAAACTTTGAAATATATATACATGGACTATAACTTAC